TTTTAGTTGGAGTCTCACTCTGTCGCCCAGGCTGGAGTGCAGTGGCATACTCATGTCTACCGCAGCCTCGATCTGTTGGGCCCAGGCAATCCTTCCACCTTAGCCTCCCAAGTAGCTGGGACTACAGGCATGCACCACCATGCCTGGACAATTTTGTGATTTATTGTAGAGACAAAGTCTCACCATGTTGCCCAGGCTGGTCTTGAATTCCTGGGCTCAAGCAATCCTCTCGCCTCCCAAAGTGTTGGGATTGTAGGCGTGAGCCACTGTGCCCGACTATTATTGCTATTATTAATGTTACCACCACCATAAGTTTTCTCTTTCCAGGTATGTATACTAGAATTTCCAATTTCTGAAAATCTAGTAGCTCAAAACGACATAGTCAACGACATAGTCTGCCTTAGGAGAAGTGCTTAGCCCTGGACAGTGGCCATGAATATTTATCTATCTTTTGAAGTAGGCAAACAAGTTCAACTGGTACAGACTTTGTTCTCAATAGAAGGGAAAATCCTGATTTCTTTAACTGTTTCCTTCTATGTTAGCGCTTACCTAGGCTCCACCTCTCCAGTTACAGAAAGTAAAGTGCCTCCCCGTGGGTCATTCGGAGCATCTCCTAACAGACCCCGAGGAGTTGGGACGTTGGCAGGCAAGGATCCCCGCTGCATAGCTGCCCTGGGGTCTTGCATCGGCACTGACATGGAAACAAATGGGGAGTTATTGCTATGAAGGACACATAAGGAAACAAAAAATGACTCTATATACTGCTGACAACATGATTCAGACACCTTAAAGTGGGTGAAACCTCACCCCAGCAGATTCCTCTTGCAGTTCAAGAACAGAAGCAGGGTCTAGGCAGAATGTGTGCCATGTCAGAGGTATGGATGGAATTATATAAAAAGCAAACTGGGGAGCAACCTGCCAAGGACTAGCACTGCAACCTGAAGAAACTTAGGCTCCTAGTTTTCTACCTAATCAATCTTAGTTCAAGGACCAGAATCATAAAAGAGAGGTAGGGTCTTTGGCATATGTGAATACTGCCATGGCTCTGCAAGAACCTGCTGTCTCCTTACAGACTGCTATTCCATCCAAGCCTCCTGACACCAGCAAGGAGGGAGTACAGCCTCGGACAGATGCCCATATCATCCATGTTCTCTGCCCTGTGTGAAGAGGTCAATCTTAGGCTTGTGGCCTCAACAGGAAAAATGAAAAAACAAAAACACTATTCTTTTGGGTTCTGAACGTGAGGATGACTGCCAAGCAGCTCTTTTCCTCTCAACGTCCCACCCTGAACAACACAAGCAAAAGGAAACCTGCAGATACAATGGGTACCTTGAACTCGCTCAATTGATGCAGGCCCAGCAGGTCCCACGGGCGAGTGCTGTAGGGTTCCTAGGCAAGCAGTAAGTTCAAAAGGAGAAAGAGCAGACACTTAAAATAGCTTACATACATGCAGAAACAAACACACAGAGACTGAGATTTACACATATAAGCTAAAAAAGCCACAAGTTCATCAGCTTGCCCCAAGCTACAGAATCCCCTAAACTAGCTCCTTTGGGTATCTGAAATGGTTCCACTTTGACCAAATAGGAAATAGGGAAACCTGTGGGGCACTAGTTTTATCTCGGCAGGATAACCAGCCATTTTTGATTGTCACCTCTGCTACTATGTTTTCCCTTATGTCTCCTCATGATACCATTAACCAAAAAAATTTAAATAAATAAAACATAAAAAGGATGGTCTTGAATTGAGAATTAAGCAAAGAACATAAACATAGTTTCAGAAGCAAAACATGAAAAAAAACCGTACTGAATCTGGAATGTGAGATTTATTCTGGAGAGGATGTAACAGAAGTAGGGCAATACTTTTGTCATATTTTAAAGCACAAAAATGTCTGCTATCAAAAAGTATCAAATGAGGAAATGCAGTGAATGAACTTTAGATGACGAAAGAGTATTCCACAAGAAATACTCTGCCACAGCAAATCTATGATAATAAACAAACATCATGACTCCTAGACTAATGAGATGACATGGGCACCAACACTAAATGAAGTGGTAGGAAAGCAAGAAGTATCTTCTTATGTCTCCTTTCACCATTACAAATGTGCAAAAGAAGTATGGATTTCAGGAAAAGACAAACTGGATACAAATGAATAGATTCTTGCTTCTTCTGCCGAGTACTGAAAGACACTATAAAAGAAAGCTCATCTCATATTGTCTCTTCATGAAGACATCCCTGAAATACCTTCAAAATATGAGCCATTTCCCTTTGTCAATTTTTAACCAGAAAGGTAAAGATGACTATAGCAGGAAGGAAGATGTCTTGTGGAAATATGTGTTAAATAGCTAAAAGTTGATTGATTACTGGCCCTGTAAGAAGTAGAAATATAACTGAAGTCCTAATCTTTTCTTACTACTGCCAAAATACTTTGGGGTACACACATGACCTATTGACAGTGGTGGGGCGGAGGTAGGAGATACAAACAGCACAAAAGCATGGGATGCTTAGAGAAAAGATGAGGTATTTGGCGAGCAGTTTGTCCTGCTCCCAGACATCTAACAAGAAAAGAATCATTCGTTCTTGTCACTTCAGCAACCAACCCCAGTATACAAAACATAGGCCTGTATCTTAATATCTTGCACTTTTTTTTTTTGAGTCAAAGTTTCACTCTATAGTCCAGGCTGGAGTGCAGTGGCATGCTCATGGCTACCACAGCCTTGACCTGCTGGGCTCAAGCAGCCTCAGCCTCCTGAGTAGCTGAAACTACAGGCACACACCGTCATGCCCAGCTAATTTTTAAAAAATTTATTGTAGAGACGAGGTCTCACCAAGTTGCTCAAGCTGGTCTTGAACTCCTGGGCTCAGGCATTCCTCCTGCCTTGGCCTCCCAAAGTGTTGAGATTACAAGCATGAGCCACCATGCCTGGCCAATGTTTTGCTTTTAAAATGGGTTTCACTTATAGGCCATATACTACAGAAGTAAAAAACTTCTCTATGCTTGTCCAAAGCAGTCTTTTCCCATCACAGTGACCCAAGGAATAAGAGAAGACATTGAAAAGTATATTTGGAAGTTAATAGAGGCAGTGTGGAATGACAGAAAGTGGACAGATTTTGGAGCCAGAGACTTCTGAATCTTAGCTCTGACACTTACTAGTTGGAAGAGAGGATGAGAGCACCAAATCCAGTCCACGTTACTCAGACATTAGTACTTACTCACCTTGTCCCTTGAGTAAGTAACTTAAAACTCTGAGCTTCCATCTCTTTGCCTATAAAACTGAGGTGCTGTCTAACCTAACTCACAAGGTTGTTTATGAAAATTAATGTCCCTGGCATATAGTATGCACTCAGTTCCTTATCTTTCCTTACCTCTCCTCTAACATTGTTTCCAACTGAACTTCTCCTTTAAACTCCAGCAACATAAATAACATGGAGATTTTGGAGTGGCAGTTGGGCTATATATGGTATTACTGCCACAGCACGACAGACACTTATCAGGTAGGCTTTACAGACTTATAATCCTCTCTGTTTTCTCTGGGGTTTAAATCTAGTCTTACACATAGCCAGCCACATATTTACATGCTCATTATAAAAATTCCTTACTCAGTCAATGGATATCCATAGAGGAGACAGAACATGTCAGTGGAATCATTAGACTTTCAGGAAACAAAGGATCCACTTGCTTCACCATCAACTCTTGTAGAGCTGGGCTCTGAATCACTAGGTGGAAAGTCTAGACCAGCACTACCCAACGGAATGCTCTGCGATGATAGAAATGTTCTATATCTGTAATGTCCCATATGACATCCACTAGTCACACAGGGCCACTGAGCACTTGGAATGTGGCTAGTGTGACTAAGGAACTGAGTTTTAAGTTTTACTTAATTTCAGTTTAATTTTAATTAACTTAATATTTAAAAAGTCATGGGTGATTAGTGGCTGCCTTATTAGGCAGTGCTGTTGTGGAACATTTCCAAGTCCAGTCCACATTAATATTTATTTACCTTGTCCCCGTTCCATGGACACTGGTCCACTTCCTGGCATTCCAACCTGGGTCTGCATTCCTCCTAGAACCCAAAAGGCAGAAAAAAAAGAAAAATAACCCCCACATATTAGGACAATGGGAAAAAAAATTAGAACAATGGCTGAGTTGACAAATTTCTTCATTCTGCCCCATAAGCAAAAATCTATACAGGAAGATAATCAACAATGCAATTAGGCAGAAGAAGGAGTTTGCTAGCATACTTTATGCTTTAGTGACAGAATAGTGAGTTCAATAAGAATACTTCATCTCACTAGGCCAGATGTCATGCTTCATGCCTGCAATCCCAGCACTTTGGAAGGCCAAGGCAGGCAGAGGACTGCTTGAGCCCAAGGTTTTAAGACCAGCCCTGGCAACATAGCAAGATCTCATCTCTACAAAAAATATAAAAAATAGCAAGGTGTGGTGGCATGCTCCTGTGGTACCAGCTACTTAGGAGGCTGAGGTGGAAGGATATCCTGAGCTAAAGAGATCAATGCTGTGGTGAGCCATGCTTGCACCACTGTACTCCAGCCTCGGTGACAGTGAGACCTTGACTCAAAAAAGAAAAAAAAAATAATACTTCATCTCACCGGTTACCAAAACGTTGGCAGGAAGCTCTTCTGTAATACTGGAAAACAATGCCACTTACCCATGGACCTCCGCTTATCTGAACTTAGAATCTAAGTCTGTTTTTTTTTTTTGAGTTGGATTCTCACTCTGTCGCCCAGACTGGAGTGCAGTGGCCGCTGCCGGCCACTGCAGCCTCCACCTGCTGGGCTCTGGCGATCCTTCCACCTCAGCCTTCCGAGTAGCCGGAATTACAGGCATGCACTACCACACCCAGCTGATTTTTTGATTTATTGTAGAGGTGAGGTCTCGCTGCCCAGGCGGGTCTCGAACCCGCGGGCTCAGGCAATCCACTCACCTCAGCCTCCCAAGGCGCGGGATTACAGGCTGAGCCACTGAGCCCGGCTCTAAGTCTGTTTTATTTTTAAACAAAAAGGCTATTTGCACTGGTTTTATATACTGAGTATTCCAGAAATGCAACTGTGTAAATTACGGGTAGTGCAATTTGTTTTAAGAACTTTATTACGAGTTTTCACCATGTCAGAAAAATCACATTACCAATGTCAACAGTCCTTGTGCTATCTGAGTTGCCAAAACAACATGCCTATCTCCATTCTATTCCGTGCCTAGACCATGTTTTATGGTCAAGGCTTCCACATTCATGGTATAGGGGCGAGCACCTGACTACTACATTTTGCTTTCTAGTACAGCTGCACCTGAACATACTAAAAATTAATTTTTTAAAATGATAAATTAATGTCCTTTTACTTCTCCTTTATACTACAGTTAGAGCATTATATTGAGTTTTTTGAGATGTTACATAGGTTATGTCATCTATGCATTTCATTCAGGGTAGTAGTCATTGCAAAATATCTTATGAAACAGGGGCTACTAGGTCTAATAGGGTTAAGACCCACTAGTCTACTTTAACTAGTTGGGGTATAATATAATGACTGTCATACAAAAAATAATTATAAGTATGGAAGGATATGCAATAAAACCTTCATATAGAGTTGTTAAAAAAATAATAATAATCATGCACCACAAATTCTTATCTGGTCCTTTCCACAGAGCAACAATTCTCTTTTCCTCAAAGGAGAATTATATGCTTCAAGTGGAAAAAAGACAAGCTGATATATTTGCAGTTCATTAGTACATCCCTAAAATAGCAAGTACATGTCACATTCCTACATTCCATTTAACAGGCCAAGCACCAAAGAGCAACAAATTAAAACCTCAACAACCGGGTGCTAGCTCTGCCCCTGCTACTAAGTAATTGTGATTTTTGAATAGATGATCGGATAGAATTAATACACTTCCAGGCTTCCTCATCAGTAAAGAGAATTAGGTGGTTTAAACCAGTGGTTCTCTGAATGTGGTCCCCACACAAGTAGTGTCGGCACCATCAGGAATTGTTAGAACTGTACATTCTTGGGGCCCCACCTCAACCTACTGAATTAGACAGTTTGGAGGTAGGGAACAGCAATCTGTTTGATAAGGCTTTCAGGTGATTCTAACACATACTACAGTTTGAGGACCACTAGTCTAAATTATTTCAAAGCTCTCTTCTAGCCATAACATTCTGTTCTATTCATGCTATCCAGACCAGGCAAAATAGAACGAAAGGATTATGAGCATAATTCCTCACATTATAAAGTATCATATAATGGCACTTTTATTTTTATGGACTAGATTCCCAGAAGTGGAATTGGTGGGTCAAAATGTATATGAATTTTTAATGTTGGACTTTCTTAAAAGGTTGAAAAACTTCACATTTCCACAAGCAATGTATAGGTACCATTTCCCCCATCAATATTATATTGTCATCTCTCTTTGAAATTTTTGCTAGTCTGATGGGTTCAAGTAAAGTGAAAGGTCATTGTTATTTAATTTGTAATCGCCTGATTATAAATGAATTTATTCTTGTTGGCCATTTGGATGCACTCTTCTATGAAATACCTACTCATTTTCTTTGTCTATTTTTCTACTAGGTTGTTTGCCCCCTTCTCTTCATTGTCAAAGAACTTTGTATATCAAAAATCTTAGTACAAGTCAGGCTCGGTGGCTCAGCCTGTAATCCCACGCTTTGGGAGGCTGAGGTGAGTGGATTGCCTGAGCCCGCGGGTTCGAGACCCACCTGGGCAACTTGGCAATGCCTCATCTCCACTGTAAATCAAAAAAGTCAGCCAGGCATGGTAGTAGTGCCTGCCTGTAAATCCGGTTACTCAGAAGGCTGAGGCGGGTTGCAGGAGCCCAGTGGGTCAAGACTGCAGTGGCCAGGAGCGGCCACTGCACTCCAGTCTGGGCGACAGAGTGAGACTCCAACTCAAAAAAAAAAAAAAAAAAAAATCTTAGTGCAGTTTTGAAATTTAATAATTTCAGACAACATTTAAGGATATTCATTTTCCTTTAAGCACTGCCTTCACTATTTCACATGTTTTTCAGTATGAAATATATATACTATTTTTGGTTGTTCTTTTGATAATTTATAAATTTCTCCTTATTTTCTAAATTCAAGGATTACCTACAGTATGTTCCTTAATTTTCCAAGTAGTTTTTTTCAGTTACCTTTTTATTTCTAATTTTATTAGCTTATGATCAAATAATGTCTATAAAATCTCCACTTTTTTGAACTTGCTAAAGTTTTATTTTATGGCTAAGTAATGCACATGGTTGGTTTTTTTTTCCCCTTTTTAAACTGTTCCATGGTCATTAGGGGAGGTAGGGAGTGTATTATCTAGTCAAAAGATATAAGGCTCCCTTTATATATTAACTGTAGCTTATTGATTGTTTTATTTAATTCCTCAATGTCTTTATTTTTTTTTTGTCCATTAGCACAATGTTACTCAAAGTGTGGTCCACAGATGGGTGCTGATCAACAAAGTATAATTTAATAGAGCTTATAACAAAGCAAGTACAGAAATGGAGAGCACTTAGAACTTTTTCTAGTAATTTGACATTGTTGTGACATCCAAGTGCATTATCAGTGCCTGTCTCACCAAGCAGGGTATAGACAAGTTTAGGGTATAGACAAGTTTGAGTATTTTTCAACACATTGTAAGGAGCTTCATATGAAGGAGCTTCATGTCATGGATTGCATACTGTCGTGTGCAGTAGGACCATACTAAAACTTGTGATATTTTAAGGTAAGTTAAGCATCTATCACTCAAAAATGTATATAGAATCCATTTCTTTCACTGAAAAACAATTTAAATCTAAGTATAACTCTATTAGGATAATGTGGATAAACAAAAATCTCAAGTTTGCTGAAAAACTTTAAAAATTTCTTGCATTTCTCATCAGCTTAGTTCTGCAGACTGGTTTTGCTACAAAAAAACAATTTAGATGTAAATTATTCTAACCTAGATCAGATAAATTAACAAGAAACAAGTTTGCTGCACAAAAACCTTTAAATATTGATGATACATCATGTGATCATACAGATGTTATATGAAGAACTGCTACTTCACTCAACTTTTTAGTTAATGATCGCTGAACAGTGAAAAGTTACAAGTATAATAGCAGTACTCTATTATTGCCTATCTACCCACTTTCAATGAATGTGTACAGTTTTTAAATTTCTTTTTTCTTTTTTGTTGTCTGGTCTGATTATGTCTATTGAAATGTAATTTTTTGTCTGTTTGACATGATATAACATATGTGATCTTGTATTTTTTTGTCTATTTTCTTTATGAGCTTTTTAACCTAATCTAAGTCTCCGGCTTTTAACAGAATTCAGTTCATTTACACTCAGCAGAATAACAACTATACTAGTTTTTATTCCTTCCATCTTACTTCATGTTTATTATTACTTTACATTATCCTTTTCTTTCTTCCTTTTCTCTATTTTTGCTGACTTGATTTAGTTTCCAGTCATTCCATTTTTTTCATCATTAATTTGCAAGTTTTACTGGGCTCTTCCACTTTATTGTCCCTTTCCTGTTCTCATAATCAGATAGTAAGGATTTCTAGAACTCAACTATTTCTTCCACTTAGAATATATACCTTCTAGCAGTGTAGTAATTGTATATCAGAATCCTATTACCCCATAATAATTTAGCTGTGCTGCTGCAGTTGCTAGGACAAAACTTCAGCAAGTACCAAAATGGTGAAGACTCAAAATGAAACTTACCTCCAGGAGCTAAGGAACCAGGGCCAGGTCCTGTGACAGCAGCTGGTATTTGCCCTGGTGCTGGAACTCCACCCTGCATAGAAGCTTGCATCAAAGGAGGTGCACCATTGACATGCATTCCACCCTGACCAAGAGAAAAAATGGGATATGTACATGCCTTTGTGAAGACTCAATACACTAAGTCTATGACCGTAAAGTCTTCTTCAAATTAACAGCCCCAAAATATTCTACTAAATATCCTTTTTATATAGTGTGTCTTATGCAGCATTAGATTTATCACACACTTTGAATTCCACAGAAGCAAGTTGCAATATACATCACGAGCCTGGTTATATGGAACACAGTTAAGATGGAATATATTCTAAATGTAGAGATTGACAAGTCTTATCTGTGTGACAAGGCATCAAGGAGCACCTATTGTGGACTTCATGACTAGGGCCTGGCAATAAGAGTAAAAAAAAAAAAAAAAAGTACCTTGAACCCAGGAACAAAAAGAGGAGAATGAGATATAAAAAACAAACAAACATAAAAAACCAAACTGCTGGCAGTCTACATTTGAAAACAATTTTTATTTAGCCAATTTGTTCTCACTTCTGTTCTTGGATAAAATTCTGGCTTGGGGGGAATGTGAATTTTTGTTTTTAATGCTATAGTAAAGCTCCTTGTAGGAAAGGAAATGTATGTTTTCTCTGTGTATTCCTCAGAAAACTGAGCAGTCCCTGGGATTAGAAAGAGCTTAACAGATAAGGAATAAAAGTTAATTTAAAAATTACATATACATTTAAAGAACACAAAGCTCCAAAACAGAAAAGAAAACTGTATAGGAAGGTGGTTAAGAGAAAACAGAATATGAAATCAGAAGCAGGTTCAGAATTAGATTTGTCACTTACAACTGTGTTATTTCTGGACTAGCTAACCTCTCTGGACCAGTTTATTTCTTTCCAATCTCTGAAAAAAGTATTTATTTATTTAGGGCAGGGGTTGGCAAACTAAGTCCCATGGACCAAATCTGGCTGGTTTTATAAAGTTATTAAAACACAACCACACACTTGTTTACATATTACCTATGGATGACTTCACACTAATATGGCAGAGTAGCTATAACAGATCCTATGCTCTGCAAAGCGAAAAATACTTACTAGCTGAGCACTTACAGAAAATGTTTCCCAGTCCCTGTCCTGTACCTTTGTATGACCCCTCCCAAGTTGTGTACCTCTGCCAATCTGACAGATTAAAAATGGTAGCTTACTGTAGATTCTATTTATATTACATTAATTTATCTTACTTTGAGGTTGAATACTTTTTCACATATTTACATTATATGAATTTCCACTTTTGTGAACTATTTAGACCCATTTTCCATTTTTCTACTGATTAAAATTTTTCTTACTAATTTACAGAAGGTCTTTTTTATTTAGTATGAAAAATTACAGACATATAAATCATAAGGAAACAAAGTAGTCACTCAGCTTAGGAAATAAATTTCCTGCATGGTCTTCCCCAATTGCATCCTATATCCCCTTCTCCTTAGACAATCATTAAGAATTCTTATAAATGTTTTAAAATTTTATATGAATTATTACATCCTGCATGTATTCTTTTGTAACTCATTCAACATATTTTGGGGATTTATTTATTTTTTTTGAGTTGGAGTCCCACTCTGTCGCCCAGGCTGGAGTACAGTGACACACTCATGGTCACCCCAGCTTTGACCTGCTGGGCTCCAGCAATTTATAAAGACACACATATCACATACTTCGGGACTGCTCTGACACTCTGTTTCACTTCTGCATACTATTATGTTTCTGACTTAATTGTGTTCATATGAATATTCTAATTTTTTTTTTTTTTTTTCATTAATCAGTATTTTTTATTATGGTTTTGTGGGGTGCCGTTAAAGGTTAGGTGTACTATGACGTTTCATTGAATATTCTAATTTTAACTGCTATATGGAATTATGTTTTTGAAAGGCATTCACGCTGACATATGTAGTTTATTTTGTATAGAGTATTATACCACATTTTCTCCATTTTTCCATTGATTTACACTTAGGACATTTCCAAGTTTCCACTAATTATAATATGACAATAAACCTTGATTATGACTAAGTGCTCTTTACTAATTAGTACGTTGTCCATTATATGTGTAGCAAATACATTTTTCCAATTTGTCGTTTGTCTTTGATGTTTATTTATTTTTCACTATACAGAAATTTTTTAGTTTTCAAATATATCAATTTTTCATGGCTTCAGGGTTTTTTGTCATACTTGGAAAGAAAGCTTCACTTTTTTCATTGGTAAGAATGGAGATAATAAGAGTGCCAACCTCATAATTGCTGTGAGGATTAAATGAGATAATGCTTATGGAATAACGAAGTGCCAACCACAGTGCCAGGCATGCACATACACACTAAGTTAGCTCATAAGAAAAAGGCATACAGGAAGAATCTCTTTGTTTTACACACTTGGAATCGAATCTATATTCATTCAGACACCATGTGCTCTGCAACCTGGAAATTGTTTTTATGCCTGGAAATTGAAATTATCATCTCTGGTTTCTGACCATTCTTCCTTCAATATATCCTCCTAAAAAGAAAATGACACTCTAAGACAGATAAAATAAATGTTAAGGGATAAAGCCCTACCAAAGACTGGGCCTGAGGGGCCTGAGGATTCTGTTGGTTCATTGACACATTGGATCCTGAGCCAGGCCCAGCACCGTGGACTGGCTGAGGGTTGCCTGCAATCAGCGTTGGGATATTTGTCTGGCGATGCAGAATTTTCTAAAAAGTGAAAAAACAAACCTATGAGCTGTCTGTTTAAGAAAGCAATCAGGTAGCTCTTATCCCACTCAAGGTTTACCCTACCGTTTCCATAAAAGAAACAGTAGCACTCACCAGAGCAATTTCCGGATCCACAATTCTCATCACTACCTGTGCTTGCAGCAAAGCGTAAGCCAGTTGAGGGTTCTGAAGCAACATGTTCCGGGCTTCCTGGGGACTATTCTGAACACAGAGCTGAAAAGACAAGCAGATTCACCATCACGTTCAATACTTATTACTTAAGAATTAATAGGGATTTAGAGCTATTCCAATCCGAGAAATGTAATTTTTTTTCAACTTTTTTAAATTTTATTTTTAATTGACATATAATAATTGTACAGTGTGATGTTTTAATACATTCATTATTGTGAAATAATCAAATTAGGGTAATTTAGCATATCCATCCCTCAAATATGTATCATTTCTTTGTGTTAAGCGCTTTCGAAATCCTTTCTTTTAGGTATTTTGAACTACGCAATACAATATTGTTAATTATAGTCACCCTACTATGCAACAGAACACCAGAACTTATTCCTCCTATTGAACTATAACTTTGTACCTGTTGGCCAATCTCTCCCCATCACCCACTGCCCCCTATCCCTCCCCAGCCTCTCGTAACCACTATTTTACTCTGTACTTTTATGAGATCAGCTTTTTTAGATTCTGCTACATGAATGAGAGTATATGATATGCCCTTCTGTGCCTGCTTGTTTCACTTAACCTAATGTCCTCCACATTTACCCATGTTGCTGCAAATGTTAGAATTTCATTCTTTTTGATGGCCAAATTGTATTCTGTCACATTTTATTTGCCCATTTATACATCAATGGACACTTAGGTTGATTTCATATCTTGGCTATTGTGAACAGTGCTGCATAAATATGAGAATGAAGACACCCCTTCAACATACTAATACAATTTTCTTTGGATAAATATCTAATAGTAGAACTGTTGAATCATTTGAAAGTTCCAGTTTTAATTTTTTTAGGATTCCTCATATTGTTTTCTGTAATGGCTGTACTAATTTACATTCTCATCAACAGGATAAACGTAATGTTAAAGAGGTTCTTTAAATTATCCTTAGTTTTTGTAGGCCAACAAAAAATCTTAGTCATGGCAGGCAAGAGAAGAAAGAGGCACTTCAAATACTATAATACTGTCATCTAAAAACAAAGTCAAATTTTAATATCTACATCTGATATCTCTGAGCTACAAAAACCCAGCTGGGATTGTTTGGATAGGTGTGTTTGTATATAAAAAGAAAAAGCTCTTCGTATGAAATGTAAAATATACTGTGTACATATAGAATATCGAAGGTGCAAAAAACACTGGTCTACAGACAGAATTTCTAGTTGACCTAGGGAACTATTTCCATTAACTTTTATCAATTAATGCCTTAAAAACCTGATATGATTTGTTTCATTCCTAATGTCTCCTCCCACCTTCATTTGCTTCATCAGCTCAAACATCTGCTCTGGTGGAAGACTGGCAACTGCTTTGCTAATGGACTCAGGGGCATCTTCAGGACTGATGGTCTCTCCATAAGGTGATTCAATGACAGGGGCTCCAGTGCCAAGGCCTAATCAGGAAGTACAAGAAAGTTAAGGAGCAAAACAAAAAGCTAAATCATTTCAAATATCTACTTTCCACAGCTGCTGCAAGAGCCAGTCTATAACTTTAAATTCTCTAAAGCTGAGAAATAAATGATTTGAAAGTCTCTTGTTTCTGTGGAAAAAATGAGAGCGTATTTTCTATTCTCAAAGCTGGGACCGTGATCACATAGAGGGACAATGTTATCCTAAGTTAGAGAACTAGACATATTGACTTCTTTTGACAAGTCATTTCAGAAGCAAAAGGTTAAGATAGAAAAAGATGCTAATTTCAAAAATTCTTGGATCTATAACCTCATGAAAAAAACCATAAAAATGCCTTAGTACTACCACCAGTTACAGATCTGGCAACACAGTCACAGGAGTGACTAATGACATAGTACTACTATGGTAAATAGTAGTAAACCTGAATTCAACTTTAGCTGGAAATCAACTCTTTGGCAACTGAAGAAAATTTTTTTAATTCATTTTTTAATTTTAAATATGTGAGGTACAATTCAGGGCTAGGTATATGAATGTTCATCACACAGGTACCCTTTGAACGATTTCTGAAGTCCATTTTATCTGTTTCTCAAATATACATATTTCCCTAAGTCAGGCACCTCAGGTTGGTCAAATAAGGAAGCTATGTGACTAATCATTTCAGCATATTCTAAAGCATATCATGGCCAGGCATGGTGGCCCATGGCTGTCATGCCAGCACTTTGGGAGGCTGAGGTAGGGAGATTGCTTGAACTCAGGAGTTCAAGACCAGCCTAGGTAACATAGTGAGGCCTCATCTCTACAAAAAGTAAAAAAAAAATTAACCAAGTACAGTGGTGTGAACCTGTATTCCCAACTACTTGGGAGGCTCAGGTGGAAGAATCACCTGAGCCCAGGAGGTTGAGGCTTTGGCGAACTGTGATTGTGCCACTCTAGTCCAGCCTGGGTGAGACACAGTGAGACTTCCCAACTAAAATAAATAAATAAAAAATCTATCATTAAATGGAAAATCTTCATTGTTATAGTTTTATGAACTCATATAGCATACAACTTGGTTTTATACTCACTCTTCAGCTCTTCTTTGTTCTTTTCACTGGCAGCATTGTCTACTCGAAGTGCTCTTCCACTGAATTCACGCCCATTCAGGTTCCGCATGGCACTAAGTGCTGTCTCTTGGTCTTGGTATTCACAGAAGCCATAACCCTTTGGCTTTCCTGTCTCCCTATCGTATACCAATCTGGAGAGCAGAACCAAGTATTAGGCACAAATGTTGCATACATATGGAGTTCCTGCTAACACTGTCATGCTCTAGGGGCCCACTAATCACCTTATAACTCTTGAATGCCTTGCTGAAATATTTTAAAAAGTACTTTCTAATAAAAAGTATCTTTTAGGTAAGAATACGTGAATTGTATGTTATGTAAATTTTATTTCAATAAATCTGTTACAAAAATAAAATGCATGCGAGAAATCATCAGTAAGAAAACCTACCATTACTACTAAGAGCCAAATTTGTGGCAATTTTTTACAAAGCTCCCATCAAGAAGGAAAAGGGGATCTCACCTGAAACTAACAACAGGTCCAACCTCAGAAAAGATGTCCTTCAATTGCTCTTCAGTAGCTTCATAAGGAATATTTCCCACTAAGGAAGAAAATAGGTAACATTAAAATTTTGAGTTTGTAACCTAGCTCTTTAATGAGAGAGTAAACAGCAGAGGATCTACTTATATCAGCAGATATATAACAACTGGCCCAAAATAGTGTTCTCTCAATCTCAATACCATTGTATTTTTTCAGACCTCTTTTTTTTTTTCCCCTGGGCATGAGACAAGAACCCGAACTGCTGAACCTCTTAATAATGGAAATATATCACTGAGACTAAATACAAAAGGTGTAGGTGACAAGTGTTAGATTTTGCTTAACTTTGGTGAAAATAAATACTTAGACATTGGTACTTACCTGAAGGTCTGCAAGTCTCATCAGTGATTACTAAAAAATCACTGTTATAATTTTTAAAACAGGTTCATACGTTCCTATTTACGTACATACACATGCTTAAGGGAGAATGACCATGAATGTAGTGGAGGATGTTTAAAAATTATTCTGAACTGCTTTGTCATGTCCGTTTCAAAAGATGCTTTAAAATAATCAGGCATATTTTAAAAGACAATGGATTTCAGCTAAAAACATTACTCAGAATAATTTCGATCCTCTTTAAAATTCCTCTGAGGAGGTCTTTATCGTTCATTCATTCATTCATTTACAATCCGGCTGGACACCAGGTGGCCGCTACCACTATCGATGAACTACAATGTTAAGGGTAGAAAGCAAAGGATGAAAGTCCTAAGGAGAGGCAGAAAGCGGACACAGGGATCTATACCCTCAGCATATATATAATATGTATTCTGGGGTGGGGGTGAGAAATAGTAGAGGACAGTTAGGGGCTGTTGCCGTGTGACCGCTCTTCTACACAACAATTTTACAAGTTTACGAACAAAGAAACGCACAGAAGCTGAACGCTAGTCCAACGTCTTCAACGATACTGCAGAAAGCCTACGAGACCTCGGGGGAAGAACATCTCAATGCCCACGAGTCCACCAGGTTGGCCGCCCTACTGGACAGGCAGGGAGAGCTACACGCCCCGACCCATCGCCGGCTCCCGTGGCGATTCAAGAGATGAGAGGTGCAGAGGGGCGTTCCTCGTCACTCTCTTCCTCCTTGTCCCTCCCCGATGTTTGGCTCCAACGAACTCGTCTCACCAAACACAGAACGTAGAGAACGATCCACCGCAGGGTCTCGCACAGTCAAACCCGCCATAGCTCTCTTCCAGTGGCTTCCGGTGCGCCAAAGCACACTTCCGTACGGCGCGCAAGTCCAGCGCCGACCACGCTTCCGTACGGCACGTGAGCCGGAAGCGCCTGGACGGGGCGGGGCGCAGGGTCCCTCCCCTGGCGTCACTCCGTCAGCCGCAGGCGCGCGTTACGTCCCCACGTCTGGGCGGGGCTGCCTGAGAGTAACACCGTTAGGAGCCGGATTCGGGCAGTTCCAGGCTGGCTTTTAGCCTACAGACTTCCTTAGTATTCATTTTCTTTTAAGCCGACGCGACTACTTGTCAACCACAATAAAGATGGCGGCAGCGGCTTTACCACGGTAACAGGGAAGTCGTTTGCTAACAACCGTGCCGCTTTCACTTTAGTTCCGCCCTATCAAGGGAGGGGACTGCTCGGCTCGGCCCCTGCAGCGCGCGTATTAATTAGTTTGCTAATTATGTGAGCGTAGGAAGTGAAGTGAGTAGTCTTGCTAGTCAATAAAGTGCGAGAATGAGCAAGACTCTACGTCTAGGTACCAACATAGCTGGGAAGATGAGGGAGGTAAAGGGAAAACAGATCCCTCTGCTCTCGTGTAGCCCGTGGGCTCATGTGCTTAGTAATGGGGCGGTGTGGCGGGAGACATTGGCAGGCTGAATATTAGAAAGAAAACATCATTGACCAGTGTTTTGGTGCCCGCGCTGCTGGGATATGGTGTGCAGGTCGGTGTCACTCTCCGGCAAGACGGACCCTGCCAGGGAATCTAGAAGGCGGACCCTGGAGGAAATCTAGAAGGCACCTACGGGTTAGGGAAGGAAAAAAGGAAGGAGCCAAGGGCGCCACCTTTGAGGTACTTGTCCGGGAAAAGAAGGTAGTAAAATAGCCACAGAATTTGAGGCACGGATGCTTTTGTTAATTTCACATATATTCGAAGTATATGAAATATGAGAAATATTTAGAAAAAATAAATAAGTGCTACTTTACACCATGGAGCATATTACTTCAAAAAGTATTTCTGGTGCAGTTAAAAAGTTTCGGAAAAGTATTCCCACTTCCATGACTGGAGACACATTTGCAATCACTGTGTGACCAAGAGAACACCTTGTATAATAGTCCAAAATGAGATTTACAACTCTGTAGAAGGCAAAGATTCAAAGAGTTTTGGTGTAAGTCATTATTCTAGTGTGGTGAACTTTTGCTAAATGCACGTATGGCCAAGTATATTTCTAACCTAGTGTTTTTGCAAACTTACATGAGCAAAAGACTCACCTGACAGGCTTGAGTAAGAGAGCAGATTCCTGGGCTCCACCTCAGGCCTATTAAATGAGATTATAGGGAGAGAACTTATGAGTCCTTATTTTAACTTGTGAGTTCTTATTTTTATTTATTTATTTATTTTGAGTTGGAGTCTCACTCTGTCGCCTAGACTGGAGTGCAGTGGCCGCTCCCGGCCACCGCAGCCTCGACCTGCTAGGCTCCGGCGATCCTTCCCCTCAGCCTTCCAAGTAACTGGAACTACAGGCGCGCACTACCACGTCCGGCTAATTTTTTTGATTTATTGTAGAGATGAGGTCTTGCCAAGTTGCCCAGGCGGGTCTCGAACCCGCGAGCTCAGGCAATCCACTCACCTCAGCCTCCCAAAGCGCAGGATCACAGGCTGAGCCACCGAGCTCAGCTGTGAGTCCTTATTTTTAAACAAGTGCCATTGGTGATTCTTAGGGTCAGGCGGTTTGAGTAGCATTGTAGTTGTGTAATGTGTCTTTATGGCACATTTAGGACAACTGCTTTCTTATGAAATTTCCCTTAAAGTTGTTCTCAAAGTTCTCAACCCATAACTACCTCTTGTGGGAGAGAATGTTTGGAAATGTACAGAAGTATTTTGAATTGATGTAATGGCTACTACTAGAGGAGCTAGAGATGATAGATGGACTGCCCTGTCTGGGGCAGTCTTACATAGTGGACCCTTCCCTCTCACTAAATGCCGATAATGTGTCTCCCCTTGAGAAACACTGTTAGCATCAGCCATATTAGTGTTACCATTCAATCCAACAATCAGCTGCTTCCCTCATAGTCAATCAAATATGAGAGGCAGAAAGCTGGGAGAAGCGGGTTTTATTCTGATACCATGGGATCAGGGAACCTGTTTAAGCAGAATTTCCATCCAATATTCACAATAAAACATACAGTTTCTTATCTTTTCCACACTATTGATTAATAATGACTATGTGTCTCATTACCATTACTTAGTTTCTTTCTTAATCAGTGTTTCGACCCCAAACAGTTACTGTCACAAACTGGTGCTCAGATCACCTCAGTCCTGCCATTCTTCTAAGTTAAAATTACCTTGAACAATTTGGGGCTGCGTACTTTCTAGTTGGTTACAGTGTTTTGCTTATTCTGGGGTTTCTAGTTCACAAGACTTGATTATATATAAAGTTAATACAAAGATATGAAAGAAAACAGTTGTCATTTAGAGACTAAGGGAATAGATACATTTCTGGGTTTTAGGAAGTTTCAGCAAATCTCATTTCTTATCTAGGTCCAGCAGAGGCTTTTCCAGGAATGTGAATTTTTTTTGTGTCTATTGCTTATCAGGGGGCTCAATGAAGATGGTTGTGTTCACTTCAGTACCAGCAACAGTTACTAGATCCAAAGACAGTGAAAGGGAGACAAGGGAAATATGTTCACTTGAACAAAAGATAAAGGGTACCTAGCGAAGAATCAAATAATTTGGGATACCATAGTCAAGATTTGTGGGGCACTGGCAGAAAGTTTTGTAAAAAAACCTTGAGTTCTTATTCAATCTTGTCAGTGACACTAAGGATCTTGAATAAGGTAAACATAAGTGAAGTAAGTGAAGACGATCAAGATTGTGAGAGTACAGAAACTCAGGCTCTTTCATAGAAGGTCAAATTTCCAAAGCTGGGATAAGCACTACTTCATGATTGATCCATGTTTAAAATCCTTCAAAGTGTGATGGAATAAAATCATTGATTCTTTAGGGAATATCTGGAAAGACAGAAACTCCTGGATAGATGTCACTGCATGAAAAAGATGCCAGATGAGACTGGGGCGTTACTTACGTTAGGCGAGATCTCCAAAGAGCAGAGCCTGCAAGAGCTAGGGAAACTTGTAGCCAGAGGACACCTGAATGCTGACAGATCCAGGTTAGTATCTGATGCCAATTGACTTGCTTTCCAGAAAGAAACATCATTCCTAAATTCTGTATTGCTGCATTATCACACTGATTCTACAGCAATATCTATACTTTCTGGGAATATTTGAGGTTCAGCACTGAGGCTATTCTACACAGAGCTGTCTAGTTCATCAAAGATGGTCATTCTTTCAGCTTTAGCATTTTCATTTTCTATTTCTTAGCTAACTAATTTTATTCTCAATGCAAACTATGCACATTTCTTGTATTCTTTCCTAGAATTCTGTTCTTTCAAAGAAGGTTCAACATTGTTTACCTGCTGAAAGACTGTGTTGCTTGGTAGAAAGCCAGGGAGCTCAACTGAATTGGAGGAAGATTTGTCCTATCCTTGGCCATGACATGGTGACCTCTTGTTACCAAATGAGGACTGCTTCCAAGCCAGGTATTGGGAAAAAGTGAGTAAGAAGAGGAAGTCTTTGAGGTTTTTTTTTTTAAACCTGGAATCCATCATATGAATCTAAAATGTATATTTCTTTGTTGGCTTTTTTCCTCCGTAATAAGAACTCTGGGATATTTTGCCTAGCTCATGGCATCCAGGAGTTAGCAAAATGAAGGTATCACTGGATAGCACTCAAATTTCAACAGTATGCTTCGGGGTAATTGTATCGGGTTAGGGAAAATAGGGTAATAATGACTAAGAGGAGCTAATACTTATGAAGGACTGTATATGTTACAAGGCTTTTCTACATGGATCTAATTTGATTCTGAAAAATACCTATGAGTTAAAGTATGCTACCTATTTTTTATTGTGGTAAAATATATACAACTTAAAACTTACCATTTTAACCAATTTTAAGTGTACAGTTCAGGAGCATTAGGTACAATCACATTTCTGTGCATCTGTCACCACCATTCATCCCCAGACTTTTTTTATGTTCCCAAAATGAAACTCCAAACCTATCATATGCTAACTCCCCATCCCCTCCTCCTAGTCCCTGGCATCTACTATTGCACTTTCTGTGTCTGTGAATTTGGCAACTCCAGGTATATCATATAAGTGGGATTATACAATATTTGTTCTTTTGTGGCTGGTTTATTTCATTTAGCATAATGTTTTAAAGGTTCATCCATGTTGTAGCATGTGTCAGAATCTCTCTACTTTTTAAGATTGAATAGTATTTCATTGTATATATGTACCACATTTTGTTTATTTATTCATTGATGGACATTTAGGTTGCTTTCACCTTTTGCCCATTTTCAATAATACTGCTATGAACATGGGTGTACAAATACCCCTTTGAGTCCCTGCTTTCAATTTTTTTGTGCTAGAAGTGGAATTGCTGGATCACATGGTGTGATGGGTAATTTTAGATGTCAACTTGACTGGATTAAGAAATACCTAGGGAATTGGTAAAGCATTATTTTGGGGTGAGTCTATGAGGGTGTTTCTAGAGGAGATTGGCATGTGTGTCTGAGTAAGTGGGGAAGATCTGCCTTCAATGTGGGCAAGCATCATCCAATTGGCTGGGGGCTTAGATAGAACTTAAACAGAGGCAAGGCAATTGCACGTGTGCTCTCTCTGTATCTATCTGTATCTCTCTCTATATGTATATATGTGTATATATGCATGTATATACATAAGGGGGGCAGAGAAAACCGGAATTATTTTTTTGGAGAATGGACCCCTTGTAGTACAGGCTTCCCCTGCTAGGTAAGTGTTCTAGGAACCCATCAGCATCAGTGTACCAGCTAGCATTGTTGTGAGAGGCTGTGTTTGGCTTCAGTGAATTTTTTTGGAGATTCTTTAAACTCATTTGCCCATTTCATGGTGGGTGATTTACAAGCACACATGCCCACACTGAGCTAAGTGTTCAGCAGTTTTTGACCAAAGATGGCATGACCCC